CGGGCCGGGCCGGGCCGGGCCGGGGAGGTGTCCGCGGTGCTGGCGCTGGCGCTGTCCCGGGTGCTGAAGCGGGCGGCTGGCGGAGGGGAGGCAGAGCCACGCCGCGGTGCGGCCCCCCAGGACCCGCTCTCTGCACGGCAGGGGGGTGGGGGCTTGCCCGGCTGGCAGGTGTCTGTCCTTGGCGGGTCTGCATGGCGCTGCGCAGCTCTGCTTTTGTCCGCGGGCTGGGGAGAGCGGCTGGGCAGGGGCTGTGCTTTGGGGAGAGGCGACTAGCGATGGGGGCTGGCGAGGGACAGCACCGGCTGGAGGGAACAGGCGCTGACGAGCTCCTTTCTCTCCCCCTCTGCCTTTCCCAAAGGAACTGGCGAAGTACTTCTTGGCAGAATTGCTCTCAGAGCCAAGCCAGACAGAAAACGAAGCCCTGGAGCCCGAGGACTTGTCCCGAGGAGCTGAACAGGATGAAGTGAGGCTGGAGCTGGAGCGGTCCGCGAACTCCAACCCAGCCTTGGCGCCCAGAGAACGCAAAGCAGGGTGCAAGAATTTCTTCTGGAAAACGTTCACATCCTGTTAGCTGTCGAGCCGCGCCGCTCAGCCCATCCGTCCCGTCCCCAAGCCCTCAGACCCTGAGGGGAGCCCTCACGACAGGACCAGAAGACTGTAAATACCCAACATGCGGCGATGGTGAAATGAAAAACAAACACACAAAAAAACAAAAAACAAAAAAAAACAAAAATGGGAGTTTGATTTGGAGCTGTTTTAATAAAATTTTCTGTTTAGATTGTACATGATTTGCTTGAGTTGTGATTTCTGACTAGTTCTTTATGACATTCACTCTGCAGCTCTCTCAGATGTACTATTTTTAATTCTTTGTCGCAATAAAGTTTATGTTTCAAACGGTCACGCTTGGAGTTTTTTGGTCACTGAGGCAAAAAAAGGAAGTCGCCTCTTTGAGACGGGCTTTGTCTTTGAGGGTATGAATAAAGCACTAGGAGGCAGAAAAAAGAAACCCCCCGGCGACGTATCAGAATCTGCCAGGTTACTGTCCATGAATGGCTGAGCTGTCTATAAGGGCTGAGGACCGTTTTATAGTTAGGTCCAAAAAAGGTCGACATTTCAGTCAACCTTTCGGTCTCGGGGATGGAGCCGAACATCAGGGATGTGTCTAAATTCCTCCGCTGCTTCGAAAAGCACAACTTTGCCCTAGAAAGGCAAGGGGCTGCATTGAAGTGCTGGCACGCCATGAATGAGTCATATCCCTTCCCCCCAAAAAACCCCAAGAAAATCTTCGTACCAAACTAGGCGACCTTTTATTTATTCAAGAGAATTAAATGACACTTCTGAAGTGTATTAGGAGAGGGTCAAATTGCTTCCACGGTGCTAGTTTTCACATCCCTACGAAGCTAGGCGATTGAATGCGACAGCACCTGCTTCAAAACAAAGAGAAAAATACCCGAGTAGCAAATGGCAGGATCCATTAAATCGGTAGTTGCAATCCCTTTTCTCGGTGCCCTAACACCGCTGAACATGAAGCCAGGACTTCGTGATATACCGGTGGTAGGAAGGGGGGCCTTATTTGAACAGAAAGAAGACGGGGAATTCCCAGTGAGTCCGCTGTTCTAGCTTTATTGGTTTGTGAGACACTGAGCCAGAAGCCAGTGAGGAGTTCAGCACTTATTATTGAGTTTTCTGCACTTGAGAAGTGTATAATTTGGAGGCAAAGCTCCATCGAGACATTTTGGAAGCCCCTGCTTCTTTACATAGACTGCTTGGATGGGTTGAATAGTAGCTGAGCTTTGCCACATCCAAAAGCCAGCCTTCCCCATGGCTTTCCTCTCAGCATAATGCACAGAGGGGGTATCTCTCTAGCTCTCTTTCTCTATACCTGCAGGTGATAGCCCCAAAAGCCAAATTCCACCCTGCCTGGCTCAAGAAGACCGATGGGATGCCATCAGTGAGATGGAAAGGCAAATACGACCCCTTCCACTGGCAAGGCTGCTACATGAAATGACTCGATACAGATTGTATGAGAAGTTTGGAGGCAACGCTTGACCTGATCATTATAATCATCTTCCACAATTTCATTTTAAAGGCAAAGCAGAGTGCCACCTTAGAGACTAACTCCTTCACAGAGGCATGCCTTTACATCCATTCTTAGCCACTGATGAAGTCGGTTGTTGCTTTAGAAAGCTCCAACCTCTCTCTGCACCAATTAGTCTCCCAGGTGCCACCCTGCCCTGCCCTCTGCCTGACTTCAGACCAACATAGCAATAGCTAGCCACTTCTCCTATTAATCCAAACCTTGCTAAACCCCCCTGCGGGAATGCCCCCGGAGCTTCTCTAACCATCCTGGATCTCATCGATAGAAGGATGGCATCAAAATAACCAGGACACAAATATGTCTTGTTTCCTCCAGCAATGAGTGAAAAAGGTGCGTGTCTGACTATCGAGCAAATATATGTGTGTGTGTGTGTGTGTGTGTGTGTATTTATA